GGAGTGTGTGTGAGTGTGAGCTGAGTATATGTGTGAGCTGTACGAGTGAGTGTGAGTGGAATGTGTGTGTGAGTATGAGCTGAGTGTGAGCTGTATGAGTGAGTGTGAGTGTGAGCTGAATGTGTGAGTGTGAGTGTGAGTGTGAGTGTGAGCTGTAGGAGTGAGTGTGAGCTGAGTGTGTGAGTGTGAGCTGTAGGAGTGAGTGTGAGCTGAATGTGTGAGTGTGAGCTGAGTGTGAGCTGTAGGAGTGAGTGTGAGCTGAGTGTGCGAGTCATGCTAATCGCTTTATTTTCTCGCTCTCATTCAATACATCTTTCTTTCCCTCTCTGCCGTTCTCTCAGCCTCTCTCTCAGTTACTCTCAGTTATAGTGCCTTTGCTGCTTTGTTTCTTCTCCCTAAGCACCTGTCACACTAGCCTGGACATCGGCCAATCACATCGTCCGCCCTGCTTCCCTCAGCCAATCCCAAGCCAAGCACAGAGTCATGTGACTCTCTGGCCCATATATTTTCCATCTGGGTAAAATATATGAGGAGCTTTTTAAGATTTTATGGCTATCCTACAAAAAAATGTAAAACATTATTTGTTGATACACTAATAGAGTATAAACCTCCATTGAGATGTAGAGTATAAATGTCATTTGAGGCTTAATGTTGGATGATGCTATGAATAGCTCAGTGGGCCAACTCTCCAGCCTTAAGAATTACAACCTGCAGCTTCAGGACAGACGGACACCAGTGTGTTTGCTAATGGATTCAGCCACAAGACCTTAAAAACTCTCTGCACTGACCAAGACAAGCTGGATCACTGCAAAGACCACTGGCCTATTCAGACACACAGATGACGAAACCCACAATGAGTGGACAGACGGATGGACAGATAGACACTGAGAGACAGGTGGACACACAGGTGGACAATTTGACAAATATAGACAGAAAGAAGGACACAAGAGCACAGAGAGTACTAGCACACTGTGAACTGGCACACACACACAGACACTGAGACAGGCTGATGTACAAAGACCGATAGGCAGACAGAAAGGCCAGCAGACACAGAGACAGGCAGACTGGTGTACAGACACACACAGAGACACACAGACAGACAGACTGGTGTACAGA